TGTCAAGCTCTAAATAGAGGCAATTCTTAGAACTCATATTTATGTGCAGTCATTAATTGCTAAGAATAATAATTTACTTGTAAATCCAAGATTGTATTAATTTTATCTGTAATGGAATTCTTGTTCTTTCCTGAAATCATAGCAAATTATTAAAATTGCTTTGTGGGGAGTACAAAGTTAAGGAGATCAAATTTGTTTTACAAGGACATTTGATGTAATTATTTTTAAAATATATCTTGCTTTTTATACCAGACTTTTAGATAAAAATAATTTCTTAAACCTCTATAAAAAACTATTCTTCCCATTTCTCCTTTCTTTGTCAGTTAATTCTCAAACCTAGAATATGCCTTTACATTTCTGTTCTACACCAACTGACTGAATTATGTTGGGTCTTATATAATGCAATCTAGTAGAGAATAAATTCAAATGTTAGGCATTCTTTTGAAACAAATAAATACATAATTGTTGGTGAGCACTTTTGCCTGTAGCTGTAGAACAATGGATATTTGTAATCAGGCCTGCTCTTCAGCTAATGTACACTATTTCCCCTGGTAGTATACTCTCCAAACAGAAGCCAGAGTGATCCTTAAAAAAAAAAATTCTAAATCATATCTTAAAGGCCACAAAGTCTGTGTGAGCCGGTCTTCTGCCCATCTCTCCTGGGCTGTCTGTCTGCTCCAGACACCCCATCCTCCAGGCTCACTCTAGCCCTGCACATGCCCTACTGGAATGAGAGCTCCCTACAGGCAGGAAGGTCTTCTGTTTGGTTCTTTCTCTGTATCTTCAGCTCCAAGAGGTGTACCTGGCTCACAGTAGTTGCTCAGTAAATAGTTGAATGAATGAATCATTGCAGAGATTTCTTTTGAATAAACTTTGTAATTAGAGATAGGAACCTGAGTGTGTTCTTAAATTTCTTTTTGTTCTTTTTATCTAATGGTATTCTTATACGTGAAACATACCATAACAAAAGCAATATAAATCACTTTCTTTTCTTTAAAAGCTTATAAATCAAAGCAGACAACACTAACAAAAGGCACCAACTAATACTAAGAAGAATTAAGCCTATTAAGTATTAAATGATTAAGAAGAAATGAGATCAATATGAAAAGGAGATCATTTAATTTTACTGGAGGATGTACACACAGATCCTTTCTAAATGGAAAGACACAACATATTGTTATGTACAAAGATTTTATATCAGCCTTTTCGGATAAATATACATTTTAATGCAACTCCAACCAGATTTCCAGTAGGAACTTTGTTTATTGTGTTGGTTGGCTTTTATTTGCAACTCATTTTCCTTCATCACCCAACCTGAAGGGTCCCTCTCACACTAGTCACTCAACCTCATACCTCTGTGTTTTATTTTGCTAGAACACTGTCTTGTCCCTCAGCTTTATTGAGTTATAATTGACATAAAGCACTGTGTAAGTCTAAGTTGTACAGCACAGTGATTTTATATGTGTATATATTACAGAATGATTGCCACGATAAGTTTAGTTAACACATCCATTACTTCACAGAGTTTCAATTTTTTTTTTTTTTTTTGAGTGAAAACTTTTAAAATCTACTCTCTTGGCAACTTGCAAATATTCAGTGCAGTATTGTTAACTATAGTCACCATGCTGTACATTACATCCCCAGAACTTATTCATCTTGTAACTGGGAGTTTGTACCCTTTGACTACTTTCACCTATTGCCCCACCTCCAACCCTATGCCCCACCTCTGGCAACCACTTCTGTTGCCTGTCCTCTGCTTCTATGAGTTTAAGTATTCTTTAGATTCCACCTAGAAGAGAGACCATACAGTATCTGTCTTTCTCTGTCTGATTTATTTCTCTTAGCATAATGCCCTCAGGGTCCATCCATGTTGTGGCAAAATTTCCTTCCTTTCTATGGCTGAGTAACATTCTGGTGTGTACATGCTCCACATCTTCTCTATCCATTCATCCATCAGGGGACATTTAGGTTGCTTCCATGTCTTGGCTATTGTAAACAATGCTGCAGTGAACATAGGGGTGCAGAAATCTCTTTAGTTCCCTTCAGATATGTACCCAATTGCTGGGTCATGTGGTAATTCTATTTTTAATTTTTATGAGAAAACTCCATACTCTTTTCCATAATGGCTGTACCAGTTTAAGTTCCCACCAGCAGCGCCTAAGGGTTCCCTTTTCTCCTCATTCTCACAAGCACTTGTTATCTCATCCCTTCAATAACAGACATTCTAACAGGTGTGAGATGATATCTTATTGTGGTTCTGATTTGCATTTCCCTGATGATTAGTGAGATCAAGCACCTTTTCATGTACTTGGACATGTGAATATCTTCCTTGGAAAAATGTCTCTTCAGGTCCTTTGCCCATTTTTTAATTGGATTATTTGTTCTCTTGCTAATGAGTTATATGGGTCCCTTCTGTATTTTAGATATTAGCCATTTTTCAGATATGTGGTTTGCAAATATTTTCTCCCATTCTGTACCTTGCCTGTTCATTTTGTTTATTGTTTCTTTTGCTGTGCAGAAGCTTTTTAGATTGATGTAGTTCCGCTTATTTATTTTTGCTTTTGTTGCCTGTGTTTTGGGTGTTGTATCCATAAAATCATTATGAAGACTAAAGTCAAGGAGATTTTTCCTGGTTTTCTTCTGTGGTTTCAGGTCTTACGTAAGTCTTTAATCCTCTTCCAGGTTTTGTGAGTGATAGAGGTCCAGTTTCATTCTTTTGCATGTGAGTATCATTATTTTCCCAGCACCATTTATTAAAGAGTCTGTCTTTTCTCCACTGAGTATTTTGGTTCCCTTGTCAAACGTTGACCATATATATGCATGAGTTTATTTCTGGGCTCTCAATTCTGTTCCATTAGTCTATGTGTCTGTTTTTATGCCAGTATCATACTGGCATATATATGTACCATAGTATGTATATTACTATAGCTTTGTGATATAGTTTGAAATCAGGAAGTGTAATACCTCCAACTTCGTTCTTATTATTGCCTTGGCTATTCAGGGTCTTTTGTGGTTCCATATGAATTTTATGATTGCTTTTTTCTGTTTCTGTAAAAAAATAAATGCCATTGGAATCTTGATAGGGATTGAGTTAAATCTATAGATGCCTTTGGGTAGTATGAACATTTTACCAAGGTATTAATTCTTCCAATGATGAGTATGGACTATCTTTCCACTTATTTGTGTCTTCTTCAATTTCTTTCATCAATGTCTTATAGTTTTCAGTGTACAGATCTTTTACCTACTTTGCTGAACTTATTCCTAGGTATTTTATATTTTTTGATGCTATTGTAAATAGGATTGTTTATTTCCTTTTCAGATTAATCATTATTAGTGTATAGAAATGCAACTGATTTTTGTATATTGAGTTTATGTCCTGCAACTTCCCTGAATTTGTTGATTAGGTCTAACAAGTTTTTGGTGGAGTCTTTATTAAGATCGTCTATATATAAAAAAATCATGTCTGCAAACAGCAACAGTTTTACTTTTTCATTTCCAATTAAGATGTGTTTTTTTTTTGTTTGTTTGGTTGGTTGGGGTTTGGGTTTTTTTTGTTTATTTCTTGCTTGATTGTTCTGACTAGGACTTCCAATAGTGTGTTGAACAGGAATGGTGAGAGTAGCCACCTTGTCTTTTCCACTAAGAGTTCTGCCTTTCACCATCCAGTATGGTGTTAGCTGTGGGCTTGTCATATATGGACTTTATTGTGTTGAGGTATGTTCCATCTATACCCAAAATATTGAGAGTTTATATCATGAATGGATGTTGAAAATTTGTCAGATGTTTTTTCTGCATCTATTGAGATGATCATGTGATTTTTATCTTTCATTCTGTTAACATAATGTATCACATTTATTGATTTGCATATATTGAACCATCCTTGCATCCCAGGAATGCATAATATAAAAGAGACATTATTTTTTTATTGCTGGTGGGAAAATGAAAAGTAATCTGTCAGCAGCTATTAAAATGTGAAATATGCATACCATTTGCCAGGCAGTTCTATATTGGGGAATCTATTTGACAGAAAAGAAAGCATCAGTATATAGACATAGATGTGCAAGGATTATTTATTGAAAAATTGTTTTTAAGAAAAAAAGGGGCTGGAAACTACCTAAATTTTCATCAGTAGGAGAATGCTCCAATAATTTATGTACTTCTACCCTATGGAATATTACACAGATTTAAAACAATTGTTACATATTATTTTATTCGAAGGACTATTCACTATATATTATTAGATGCCTAAAAAATTTCAGAGAATGTTTATTGTACAATGCATTTAAAAATTAAAATAGTATATATATATATTTGTATATATGGATAGATTTGTATTTATGAACATAAATATGTGGAAAGAGACATACCAAGCCATTAACAATTGCTATATCATCAGGAGTGAAAAATGGGGAGCAGGAGAAGAGATTATTAATGTATATTCTATGCCACTTTATTGTCTAACTTGGTAAAACAAACATGTTGTGTTTTCATTTTAAAAATATAAAGATTGTTCAATGGTAAATGTAAGTATACACTACAGGACGTTGGTGGTTTGGCTTTGAGTATGTGTAAATGCCATATAGTATAAGCAAGGAGAGCCAGCACTACTGTGTTTGGTCAGAGATGTCTTCATAGAAAAAACAGCAGGTTTCACTGGACCAATGTGGCAATATTCTTCTATAAATCTACCTACAGTTTGCATATTTGGAATTTGCATTTCTTTTTTCAACCCATTTAAAACTTAGTTATTCTAAGAAATAATTACTAGGAAACCAGATTATGAAACAAATCACCCTAGACAAAAGAAAACAATGCTTCATTGTTTAAAATGTTTAGCTCTTCCTGTTTTACTCTTTTGTTTAATCTAAGGTGAAGACCTAGCATGTCTAGCATAGCTATGGCTAAATCGAGCAGTAGCTTTTTAAAAGTCTTTTTTTAACATACTGGCAATATAGACTTTTGAAACAAAGATTGTTTATCATTTTTCTTTTTCATTTCAGAACGCTTTACCCTGTACAGCTCTAAAAACCTTAGACAAGCATGGAATAAGTAAGTTTTTTTATACAGCTTATACTCGCTCTCTTTTTCTCTCTTAATTTTTAAAACTCTCTTGATAAATTTGTCATGACATTCTTTCATTTGTTCACCCAGTTGTCTATTCATCCATTCGTTTAACCATTAAACAGTTATTAAGCCCTAACTGTGTACCAGCCCCCATGTTCCACCTGAGCCAACAATCTGTGATTTTGGGTTCCCAGAGTTGTTAATCCTGAAATTCACTGTGCTCACTCTTCTTCTAACTAGATTCCAAGAAATGTTTTAGCATCAGCAAAATAGCATTTCTTAAGTACAGTATATCAACTGACTTTCTAATCTAAATAATGTTGGTGACAACCTTTGAGCGAGATAAAACTGATCTTTCAAATGTTTTTAGTTTACCCTGAGCCTTATTGGGAAGCTAAGCACACGTATCACTTGGAATACATGGACTCTGTTTATTTAATCTCTCATCTGACCTTGTTGAAATAGCTTTATTTATTGGTTTCTAAATTTGATGACATCTGAAGATCTGGGTGTCTCAAGTTATTCAGGGGTCTTCTATAGCAAGCCAAACTGCTAGTAAATCATTGAAAGTTGGGAAGCAGAGTAATTGAGTCACTCTGACTGTATCACATTTCAAGCATTATATTAGGGAAAAGGTAACTAGATCTGCTTTGATTAAGTAAACTATAATTTGTCATAACAAAATTTTGTCTATGGGGAATTTAGTGTTATTGTCTCCCTTTTTACCGTTATGACATGTTTAATTTTAGATGCCATCAATTATGGAACAAACAAGAAAAACTTTTTTTTTTTTTTTTTGCTGTACGCGGTCCTCTCATTGTTGTGGCCTTTCCCGTTGCGGAGCACAGGCTCCGGACGCACAGGCTCCGTGGCTGTGGCTCACGGGCATAGCCGCTCTGCGGTATGTGGGATCTTCCCGGACCGGGGCACGAACCCGTGTCTCCTGCATCGGCAGGCGGACTCTCAACCACTGCTCCACCAGGGAAGCCTAAGAAAAACTTTTGATAATAAAAATGCCTTTAATCAATGCTGTCAGTAGGTAACAGCAGATAGCTTACTGTGAGGAACTCATGGAATGAATACATTAAAATCTTCCATGGATTATTTGAAAGATTTGGCAGTTTGTTTTGATTAAATTCATACTAAGAAGAACACACCAGTATAATTATTTTTGTCTAACACAAGACTTCGTATTTTCCATTTGAAGGGTCAGTTCTTAATATCTAGAATCTCCCACAGGAAGCACGCCCTCGGCTGGGAGGGAACATTCTCTATGTGTTCCTCACCCTTTTATCCTCCTTCACCCTAACTTCACTGATCAGTGGTAACACATTTTAATTAAGTGCTTTCATATACCAGGTAATATATACATATAACAGTTCCTGTCTTCGTTAAATGATCAAACACATTTCTCACAATTGCTCAAAAAGTTTTGTGCCACTAACCACTTTATGAAACAATTCTTGACAAAGCCATTGAATCTCTAACCCTTTCTCTGAAGTAACAGGAAAATCTGGCAAATCCACGCAGAGTGACGTTTGTGGAGAATAGCCTCCAATTTAGCTAACCCTCTTGTTTCCTTCCTTCAGAGGGACAGGACTAGAATGATGTCCAAATCACCCAGAAAAATAAATGGCAATTTTTATCCACTTAGAGTAGTCTACAAAAGACAGGATGGGGGAGGGGGAGGTCTGTAGACGATGCTGAGTGATAGTTCATCCACTGTCCCCTTGTGGATGTGACCCCAACAGCATTTACACCTGGCCCACTCCAGCTGTTCATTTTCACAACTTGTATTCAGCACCTGTCATCTATATGCCCAGACGAATGGCCTTTCTTGTTCAACCATTGCAAGTGACTGGTGGGATGCCTCTCAGAGAAGATGCTTTTGTCCATATCAGGAGAAACTAGGTTATCTCATGTCTTTCAAAAAAAAAAGACAACTGAAGTAGTATTCAAGCTTTGCGTTGCTTTGCTTCATTCTGACCACCTAAGACCTGATGCTTGCTTTCTGTGAGAGGTACTGTTCGTGTCACAATAGAAGTAGTTAACTTCATTGACAAAAATCAGGCTGTGTGATCCTCTGGTGTTGCTGCTTTAGAAATTTTAAAAGCTGTGTGCATTGTGCTCCATCTCTGAATTTTCTTAAAAGATGCTAGGTTCAGTAAATACGCTTTTACTTTTGAGGGCAGATAGTTCTTCAGAATATGATTTTTCACAAAATAAGAACACGGTTTCTCTTTAAGATATCACTTCAGAGATATTTATTATTTGCATTTTCCGTGAACATAGGATTTATATTTTTTCTACCAGAAACAAGGTCTAAAATACTGAAGGAAATATTACATTTTAATGTAAAGTCTTTTAAATCCATTGATAGAATTGTAGTTAATATCTTTCTTTTAATTTCTACCATCACATATGCTTTTTAAAAACCCGAGAATTAATTCAAAGTCATTTAAGAGAGTCCCACCCTTCGATTTCTTTAAAAATATTTTAGAGAAAATATTAAATGCTGAGCTTGAAGTAAGGTTTTAAAATTATAAACATGACTTGTTTAGAACCATGCTATTTTCAAGTCCCCATAAGTCTTATTCTTTTGTTGCCTTAAGGATTTATTTCAGAAAAAGCTAAGTAATAAAATCATCACTAAAAATATTATAAAAATATGACTTTCTAGTATCTGTTTTGTACTGAACCCTTAAAGCGAAGCTATAGCCTCCAGCCAGTTCTAACCCAATGCAATTTAGGGAGAAGTGAGAATTCAGACATTAATTATATTATTGATTCTTCCTACAGACCGACTTGTGACCTTGTAACCATCATTGACAATTAAACAACTCTCACTTCAGAGTGGGGTCTAGATTCGGAAGAATTGCATTTAAAGACTATTAAGCAAGTGCTAGCTTTCTTCCTACTGCTAACTAATTTGTTTGTCAACAGCACCATTACGAAACCAAAGTGATTGGTAAATTCTCTTGTACAGCAGTAATAGGTTCAAAATAAAGGGAACTAATTTGCAAGGACTAATTTGAATTCAATTTAGATAGGTTAATATAAGATGGGCAGGTTAATATACACATGTAAATTGCTGTTCAAAATTAAGTAACAATGTTAAAAATATGTATTAACACAGCTGTTGAAGCTAGTGGATAGATGAACCTGCCTAAGAGAGTAAAATTTCTTTTTTTTTTTTTTTTAATAACTTTATTTATTTATTTTTGGCTGCTTTGGGTCTTCGTTGCTGCGCGCGGGCTTTCTCTAGTTGTGGCAATAGGGGGCTACTCTTCATTGCGGTGCGCGGGCTTCTCATTGCGGTGGCTTCTCTTGTTGCGGAGCATGGGCTCTAGGCGCTCGGGCTTCAGTAGTTGTGGCTCGCGGGCTCTAGAGCGCAGGCTCAGTAGTCGTGGTGCATGGGCTTAGTCGCTCCACGGCATGTGGCATCTTCCCAGACCAGGGCTTGAACCCGTGTCCCCTGCATTGGCAGGCTGATTCTTAACCACTGTGCCACCAGGGAAGCCTGAGAGTAAAATTTCTTGCGAAATGAATCCTCAAGTCTCTTTGAACAGCTGTAACAAGTGACCCAGTTTATTTTGGGACCAAGTCTGCCCTAAGTAACACCCATGCAATTCCCTGCTGACTTCATTTATACCAGTAACCATGGGCATAATTTTATCCTTTGAAGGATGTTTTAGTATTCTGGGGAAGCAAAGCAGTGATAGGAGAAAAATATCAGAAGATCCAGCAGATATCTAAACTCGAAAGGATAATATAAAGAAGTCTTAATTATAGGATTGAGAATAATAAATACATATTCAAAAAGAAAAGAAGGTCCTTTTATTTCCTCTTACTGGAAGTGCATGATCCATGTGGGTTCTCTCCTGCTTGAAGAGGATTTTAGACTAAAGGGAGACAAGTCTTAATTTTATAAATATGTGTTCTTTCTGATGGCCTTCAAAACATTCCATTTTATTTCCTTGGAGTTACAAAGACTCTCCCTATTTTTCTTCCTGATCTCTCTACTTACAGTTGTCTGACATTGGCATGCATGTGCAATCAACCAAGTATTTCAGCCAGTTAAAAGATCTTTCATTATTTTGGCTGGAGAAGAAGCCTTAGTGTATGCTCTCCAGCAAAGGGTAGGATTCCAGGAATGCATTTGCTTGTTTTGGAACTTTTTAGCAGCTGAACAATTTTGGAGGTTTGAAAGTAGCAAAAAGAGAACTAAGGATAAACCACCAAGTCACAGAAGACAGATTTGGAAAACACAGGTCATAGCTGATAAAGCAAAGCACATCCGTAGACTTTGAACAGGTGTAGGCCAGCTTGTCCTGCCCCCTCCACCCAGTGCTCTAGTTCTGCTTATAAGCCTTCTGGTTAGCAAGTCCAACTGGATTGCTCCTAAGATTTAAAAACAGACGATACTTTAAGATGTGCAGTAAATTCAGAGACATTATAATGAGGCTACCCTTATGGAAATGCAAAAAGAGAGAAGACGTTTGCCTGCATGTATTGGAAGGTACCAGCAGGGTCACAAACCTTAATTTAGGAGCTTTAGAAGTGTTTTCCAGCTTGGCGTACTTGAGCTTTCCTTGAATGTTTTATCTAATTCGATGATTAACTTCCAAAACATATTTTAAAGATGACTTGGGCTTCCCTGGTGGCACAGTGGTTGAGAATCTGCCTGCCAATGCAGGGAACATGGGTTCAGGCCCTGGTCTGGAAAGATATCCCACATGCCGTGCCAGTGACTAAGCCCGCGAGCCACAACTACTGAGCCCATGTGCCACAACTACTGAAGCTGTGCACCTAGAGCCCGTGTTCCCCAACAAGAGAAACCACCGCAATGAGAAGCCCGCGCACCGCAAAGAAGAGTAGCGCCCGCTCGCCGCAACTAGAGAAAACCCGTGCGCAGCAACGAAGACCCAACACAGCCAAAAATAAAAACAAATAAATTAATTTTTAAAAAAGATGACTTGCTAGAA